CCCCTGCCAACTGGGTCCCATAGTGAAGTCCAACCTTGCTATGGCCTTTGGGTTGGGCATGTCTTTACTGGAGAGGCTGATGTCCAACCCACTATACACTAAACAGGACTGGGGATATAATCCTAAACTGGTCAGTTCTCCAATTGGGAAACATTTATGAAGTCATAAACAATTTATGGTGTTTTCTTTTTTTTCTCCTGCCAAACAAAAATCTATTTGAAATGTTTGTCCAGAGACAAAAATGTAAAAAGGAATAATGTCCAATTTTTTTTTTTTTACAAATCTTCACATAAACAATTGTTTGACTGCCTCTTTGTTTATACAAGCATGCTTTTCTCTAACAGGTGACCAAGTTGATCTACAACTACCGCTCCCATGAGGTCCTGCTTACGCTGCCCTCCAAGCTCTTCTACCTGGGGGAGCTGTGCTTTAAGGCTCAGAGAGAGATCGTGGAATCCCTCTGCCAGTGGAAAAACCTGCCCAAAAAAGACTTCCCCCTCTTTTTCCACGGTGTTAGGGTAACGCACAAATAAAATCACAATGCTTGCTCTTGTAGAAACATTAGTGCATCTGAGACCTGTTTATTTACTCGCTTTCAGGAGTAGTCCAAGTTTTTGGTTTTTCTTTCCCAGGGCACAGAAATGAGGGAAGGAAACAACCCGTCATGGTTCAACCCAGTAGAGGCTGTGCAGGTGATGCTCTACTGCTGCCAGCTGGCAAAGAAGCTGTACAACCCTGTGCACCCCTCTGACATTGGCATCATTGCCCCCTACAGGAAGCAAGTATGTTTCACTCCTTCTCTGAGGGCATTAAAATACTTGTTTGAAATCAGGTCAACATGCTGTAGATTTTAAGGTGAGCTTTCACATTGCTGTCCAGTGTGAGAAGATTCGAGTGCTGTTGGGTAAGGTGGGCTTGTCTGACATCAAAGTGGGCTCAGTGGAGGAGTTCCAGGGACAAGAGTTTCTGGTCATCATCTTGTCGACGGTAGGTCAAAATAAGGTATTTTAATTACAACCTACATTTAGTTAGATTTACCAAGAATTTTGAAGGGCTGAGGAAACAGCTTCACTGTTAGGAAAGCTTTTGTAATGTCCTTTTGCTTGCCTTGAAAAATGTTCAAATAATTTAGGCAAAAGCGAGTCTTTGTAGATTTATTGTTTTATGTTAAATGTTTTATTTTACGTGTTCCCTTGAAGAAACGGTGCTTAGTTTTCCAGCTAGTGATGAATCCGTGTACAGCCAGTGCACAGATTTTTGCCACGTTAAAGCAACCTTAAACTCAAAGTAGTTTAACTGAATGCAAGAAATTATAAATGACCTGGATAAGAGGTCAATATTTAGTAGATTTGCACTCAGATGCTATATTTAAGAATGACTAGTCTTTGTTACTATATGATGTAATCCATTTTGTAACTTCAGTATTTCTAATCAACGGCGTTACTATAGTGTACTACTGCCATAGTAGTAGTACACCATAGTACCTTTGAAAATTAAAAAGTACTTCTGATTGTACAAAAATACCAAATTGCAGTGGATTATTTATTATCTAATTATCCAGGTGCGCTCTAATGAATCAGTGGAACGCGAGGATTTGCAGAGTTTGCTTGGTTTTCTGGCCAATCCGAAACGCTTCAACGTGGCCGTCACCCGTGCCAAAGCTCTGCTCATAATCGTTGGAAACCCCCACATTCTCATCCAGGTGAGTGGGGAAAAAAAAAACCCTATGTAAATCTTTTTTGTCATGCATTTGTTTTTTGTCTCGCTACCATCTACTGCAGTACGTTCACCAGTAAAATAGACTCCAAATGTTTTGGTTTCCCTGTAGGATCTCTGCTTCAGGGCTCTGCTGCAGTACTGTTTCAGCAATGGGGCGTATCTGGGCTGCGACCCTCCGCAGGCCCTTAGGACTTCCCAGATGTTTGTACACTAACATCATTAGAGTTAACCTTGTGAAGATTTATTTTTGTAAAAGGAAACTTGTTGCATAGTTTTGTTTTACATTTTTAATTAGAAGTACTTATGAATAAATCTGATTATTTTATGCTAAATTAAGTTGTATCGCTGTAATTCTGTAAATTAATCATCTTTGTCTTTTTCTTTTAACTTCCATAGCATTTCAGAGAACCGGTGAAGTGCGCAAGAAGGATATGGTGTCTTTGATTCTGTTACACATTGTTTTTCTTTCCATTTCCTTTATATACTTTTGGCTTTTTCTTTTTTGACTGTTCTTAAACTTGGGATTACTTCATAACTGATTGAGGGAAAACATTTAGATTTTGTAAGAGAAAGATGCCTGCAATTAAAAAAATTAAAGTTTGTCTGTACTCAGTTACTTTTGTGCCTGATGTGGTATTTTATTTTTATATGGTAGTAAATGAAGACAGAAGCAGGACAGTTTAATCTGACATGCGACAGTTTTTGGATCTGTCTGCAGGTTCTAAGGTTGGGGGAGCAAATGGTCTGCTCATATCAGGCTGACTGTGTCTGCCCATAAGGCTTGGAGACTGGATGTGACGATTGAGTGCTATTGACAGTCTGTGCAGGGACTGTCAGTCCTGCTGGAGCCCAGCAGGATGGTGAAAGGAGGGGGTGGTGAGGGACAAATGGGAGTTCAATGTATGAGTCTCCTGTGTACAAGGGGAGACAACTTTTATCTGAGTTTGCAGAGCTGACACCCAGTTCTCCTCCCTGTCTTTGATGTGCTGCAAGGACTCGTTTTGCTCCAACACGTGGCCAGAAAGCAGCTGCATAACATTGCATTGTGATAGTCGGCTGACATGAGACGGGCGACTGATGGTATCTGAAAGAAATGCTGAAATATTTAATTGTGTGAAAATGCATTTGGCCCCTACTGATTTTGCTTTTTTTGTCACACTTCAGTATTTCTTGTCACCAATAGAATTTAATGTTGGATGAAGATGACCTGTGGGTAAAAAAATCAGTTCATCACATTCAATGATCCCCAAAACTTTAGTGGTAATATTCTGTGGACTGACAAGACAAATGTGAACATTTTTGGTTCAGCACCAAACTGATGATAAAAATACAATTGCATGACCACCTCTTAAGGACTAATACAAAAAAAACCCCCCTGAAAACCTTCAGGTTTATTTTTTATTTTTTTGGAGGTGACCTCACTGGAATCTGGACTTGGATAAGATTTAGATATAATTTTAAAAAAGCTCAAAAACCCTCGAGTGTTGCTGAATGGTGGGATCAAAATTCCTGAGTGGCGATGTAGATTTCTCATTGCCAGTTAGCGCGAACTCCTGATGCCACTTTCCTTTGAGGTACAAAGGAAATCGTTTAAAATTTCCATTTTTTTATGGATTAAAAGTTTCAGATTAAACAGATTTTAATTATTGCAAAAAAGGGATAAAAATGCAAAACAGAGTGGCAAATCTGAAAATATTTGGTTTGATAGACTTAACTTACGACAATAAGTGTTAAATTTACATTTTAATATATACAGACAAGAAAAAGGTCAGTGAAAGTTTTCTGATGCTGGTGCTGAGTGAAGGCTGTCCTCAGGTCATCACAAAAGACCAACCCAATACTGAACATTTCTGAAAGGATGTTACTCTGTGATGAAGTGGTACAGGATTGCACTTTGTTGCATATTAAAATGTACCCAAGCATTAACGACCGAATGGATTCCATCATTTTTCCATCCAAATTATGTTCCTCAAGATGCAATGATGTCAGTCGCAAAGCAAAATTAATTCGATCAGCATATGCTTTAGGTTTCGAGTTTGATCCCAAACTTTTGGAATCAAACTCCAGAAGTTTGATTTCCAACCTACAAATGATGAACATTTGTGGGTTGGAAAAATTAGTTGGGTGTTGAACCACTTGGTTGACTCCTGCTTGACCTTCTCATTCACTGAGTTTGGGGCAAGCAGCCCATTACCAAGACAGACACACTGTCTACACAACGGCCATTAGGCCCGACAACAGACCCCTGTGGAGCTCCTGGCAGGGGGAGCTTGTTAAATGTGTGGACCTATTGTTCAGCCAAATTGGCCTGTGACTCTAATTGCCCAGTTAGTCGCCTCTAATGGGCTGAACTCGTCTACCCAATCTGGAACCAGCCTCCAGTCTTCAGATCATGTCGTAAAACGTGGCTCAGCTGTGGCCGGTTACATATTCATTGTCCCTTTTCCAGACGGACCTGTTGTAAAGTCACATACATGGGAGTAGTCTCGAGAGCTGACTACTCGGGCAACTCCAGCAGACTGGGTTCTATAGATACCTCTGGCCACGATTTAGATACTCATCTAAATCTGGAGACAGACGACCTCTAAACAAAAACACTGAAATGTAGATGAATCGCATTGCATTAAGCGGTTTGAATAAAGGTTCTCAAGAGAATGGGGTGTAACTCTTGGCATATTAATCAGGTTAACAGCATCCAGATGTGGCTGTTTTGAGTAAAACGTTGAAAATACGGTGTATATGTAGAATCACTAAAAACAAATGTTGAATTATGCATTTGGGGGCTTCAGAATTGAGTTTCTTGTTCAGTGGTTTATTTTTGGGCTCTGATTTTTCTTTTATTTGGAGTTTTATTTTCTTTCTCAGACTTCTGAGTCACATCTCCTGCCAGCTTAACAGCTTATTGTATAGTCACCTTATTAGAGTTCACCACAGGGTAATAAGTACAGCTTTGTTACAAAACAATAATGGAAAAACATCACATTGACCAAGAAACAGAAGAAAGGCCATGCATAGTTATGGAAACTATTGGTGGTTACAAAACAAGATGCTAGATAATTCACAAAGCCCCGTTCAACCCATAATCAAAAATTAGAGTTGAATACTTTGCCACAACTCCAAACCTATTCATGACTGTCCCCCAACGCTGGAAGACCAGTCAAAAAGAGTACCGGAAAAAAAAAAAGCTCTTTAGTAACTGCAGTTACTAAAGGGCCCACCTCTGGAGGAGCTGCAGAGGTGGGATAATCTCACAGTTTAGACTCAAACCACCTCATCCATGTATGGTCTGGTCAAGTGAGACCAAAACTGAACTATTCTGCACATCACCCTGATCACAACATCCTTGAGATGATTTTTTAGCAGGGAAGCTGCTAGGCTCTGTCACGCCTCAGGATCCTGTTGTGGGTTGAAGTGAGAGGCCCCTGTGTTGCCCCGTCACACAACATTCAATTTAAACACATTCAATGTTTGTGGTTTCGACATACAAAACAATGCCTCGCTGTATGCAGTGAGGCATTCCATGAAAAGATTTATTTCACCACACCTAGGCATAAAATGTTAACATCCGTAACTGCCAATGAGTCGGTAACAACATATTTTATTTTAGGTTAAATATAAAGCAAATAGTTGGGCAAATGATTAGAGGTGTAATTGACTACTGGAATAATTTTTAATGAAATTTTGTCATTTTGAAGCCAAAAAGTCATTTAAAAAAAAAGAAACATTTTGAAATTCTGAAAATTTGATTCATTCTGAAAATGTAAGCCTCTTGGGTGTAAAAGTGTGTCGCACATGCAGGTTCAGCAGTGCTATGCTGTTTCTTGTCATCCTCTTCAAACTTCAGAAGCCAGTGAGACAGATTGCTGCGGCTGCTCTTCACTCAGTGAAAACTGGGATGTGATTGCCCATTGTCACCCTCCTCCCACCTCCACACAACCACCCACCCTCCATCTGCTCGCTGCCTCCTTTCTGTCTGCAGGGATCACAAAACAAGCCGTTGTCTCCAAACACATCGTCTCTATGTCTTTTGATAGGTAGTTGATAACAGACTCGCTGGCTGATTGAGCTGGCCCACCTTGCTGTATATAAGAGGAGAAGCTCACAAGAGGGGCAAGCAAGCGACTCCCCTCTTCCTCCTGTTTGCTCCCGGGACTTTTGTCAACTTTTCCTTATGGCTGCTCTCTTGGCCGTCGCTCTTTTCACGTCTCCTTTGCTGGCATTCGACCTGGGCCAGTCCACTCGGTGCGTTACCATCCCCAACCAGATGAAAGTCTGCAAAGGCGTTGGATACTCTGAGATGAGGCTGCCAAACTTTTTAGGCCACAGCAACCTCGAAGGAGAGGTGGTGCCACGCTCTGAGGACTGGAGGCCCCTGCTGCAGACCGGCTGCCATCCTCAAGCCCAGGCCTTCCTCTGCTCCATCATTGCACCCGTCTGTCTCGACACGTACGTTATTATTATTTTTTTAAGCTTTTTCAAAAAATTTCCAGTTCTATTTTTTTCTGTGATTGCAGTAAATGTTTTTTTTCTCTCTTCCTCAGCTTCATCCAGCCTTGTCATAGTCTGTGTGTGGCAGTGAGGGACAGCTGTGCCCCAGTGCTTGCTTGCCAGGGACATCCATGGCCCGAGGCTCTCAACTGTGACCGCTTTCCTGCTGAGGAAGACATGTGTCTGACCCCCCTTGCAAAATTTAGCCACTTTATGAAAGGTGACGAGCTCAAGATGACAATTTTATTCCTTCATTTTAATACTCTTCCTAATGCCTTCTAATCCTGTCAACAATTAGTAAAAACGCTTTTTTTTTCCCTTTCTCTCTGAATTGTCAGACTTGCCAAAAGCTGTTTGCCAGAACTGTCCTTCTGTGGAAGTGGCTCCTGCAGTGAAAACAGTAATGAGTGCTTTTTGTCATCACGACTTTGGTAGGATTCCAGATTCTTTCGAAGAACTCAAAATGCACTTTGTCGTTTTTGTATCAGATCCTCACTTTTTCCAGATGTTAACATCCTTCTGTCCTCCGCAGCCGTCACCGCTAAACTCCACCGTCTTCGCCAGCCCACAGGGGAGCCGGAGTTCCAGGTCGAGGGCCGCGTGGAGTTTATCCGTCAGGGCCCCCTGTTGCCTTATGACACTCAGCATCTCCTCCGGGATTGGCTCCTCATCAACCTGAGCTGCGCCAGCGCCCTGGTTCGTCCGGGCCGCTCGCAGCTCTACGTGCTGGCCGGTTCCGTGCAGCCGGACGGCAACATCGCTCTTGTTCGTCTCTTCCCCTGGCACAAAAAAGATGTAGGCATCGCACTGGCCACTCGCAAATGGAGACATCACAGATGCTGAAGTACATCAGGAGCTGAAGATCAAATTGGAAATGTGTGATCACTTCAGGACAGACGGAGAAAGTCATGAGAGTTTTGTTTCACATCACTGCTGGATCCAGGTCAAACTATATTGCTCTCTTCACTAATTTGTTTTCTGTCAGTATGCTATAATATTATGCACTAAGACCTGTAAATAGTATTAAGTGTAAATTTATATATTTTATTTTCTTGGAGGGTATTGATGTATTTATCACATTTTTTATGCTTTGTGCAAACATGAGAAATAAAATATTTTATGTCTTACATGGTGCGTAATATTTTAAACGGTTTGTGTTCTTCAGCAAATACTGTTCTGGTCATACGTTTGCATACACATGAATGTCACTTTTAACTTTTATAATTTTAAACAAAAAATTCACTGCAAAAAAAACAAGTATAGTCTTTTTTATGGCTAGAAAGTTACTTGCAATGTAAATAGAGAAGGTGCAAAGTAAAGAAGTTTAGGGCTTACGATTTATTGTAGCTTACTTTTGGTGTACCACAAGGAGGGTTGATTGGTCCAGGATTATCTCTTGCATTATACAAATAATATTTCCAGTGGTACTACAGATATAATTAAATATATATTTTCAAATGCATCTAATTTAGTTTGCTATTGTAAAAACTTTTAAAAAATGACTTTGAGCAAGAAAAAAAAAAATCTGGCTTTTAGGGTTTCAATGATATAATCTTGGAAACCACATATCGACTATATAAAAGGGAGTGTCAAAGTATTGCTTTATAAATTCATGGATTTGTTGAAATATAAAATATTGGGGACAAGGTTCTGCTCCCAAATTCTAAAGGCTCTAACTGTGTAAACCGGTCTTTAACACAACTTGTTTACAATTGATAATTGTAAGCAAGTCACATCATCAAAGATTATTTTCATGCAAAATTTCTAAATTTTGATTACATTATGAAATGTAATGATTTAAAATAATGCAAATATTTAGAACAACATCAGTGTCATTTCTAGATTATTCTTTTTCTTCATGGAAAGTGTAATCTAAGACATTGGCATTGGAGATTATTAAAAGCTCTAAGATGAATCTGACATGAATGCCCATGATTTGGGTTTATGTAAACAAGGACAAAATGTTGGTCTCTTTTTCACTCTATATACCTTATAGCCACAAGGTGGCACAGTTAGAACAAACCACAGGTCTGTTGTGGTTTGCTCTAACTGTAGTTTGCAAATGCAAAATGCATCTAAACTTCTCATTCGTCACAAAAGTGCATGAGGAAAATATCCATCTGTTGTGGACGAGTCGTGACGATTCCCAGAGGACATTCTGAACAGTGTAGCACTAATCAGAAGATAAATCACCCATTTTGCATCTCAATTGCTCCGTTTTCTCTACAAGACTGAGCGTGTCTATCTGGCATTATTGAGCACGGATTCTGGTCAGAGCCTCTTTTAGAAATTCTTTTCAAAGAAGACCTAGTCAGTTTTATATTGCACAGTTCAAAATGGGCCGAAAATTTAACTCAACGATGAAAACGAATTGATTTTTGAGTAGATCGAGCTCCCTGTTAAGCGCCAATTGTCTCAAATGTGTGATGTTTTTAATTCAAAATAATGTTGAAGAACTCTATTATTTACTGATTCACTCTTAGCAGTTTTAAGATTTTGTCACCGTTTTTCCAAAGTAACATTTACTTTATAAAGATATTTACTTTTATGGTAGTTTTTAATACTGAAATATGGTGACATTTGTTATTGGCAGTGAGGTCAACACACTGCCAGTATCGATGTGCTGTTGGATGCCTTTGTGACCATTCTTAGCAGTCATAAATGCATCCTCTAACCCTTAATGTTGTCTTCCATTCTGTTTGTATTTTTTGTAATAGCCCAATAGAGCATAAACAACAATTTGTACACTCTAGATGATTAAATCTAAGATTAAATATAATAAATCTATGTGATTTACAATTTAAATTACGTAGGTTGACAAGTTTCTCTTCATAGGAGCAGTTGAAAACAGCACTAAATATCCAGGCTGTGCAACAGGTCAGTGATGGAGCATAAAGCGTTCATACTCCGAGAATTTGTCAAGAGTGCCATAAAGCAGAATGACTTTTGGTGAAGTTTTAAAATAATATCTCAGGCTTTGCACATCTCACAGAACACGGTTCAATCCATCACCTGAAAATAGCAGTCATAAGTTAGAGCCGTGAACTTCCAAGACCAGCCCATCCATCTTAACCGACGAGCCAGGAGAGCGTTAAAGCATCCAAAAAGGTGCATGATAACTCTGAAGCCTCAGGAGCTGCAGGAAGAGCGGTAAAACGAGGAAGAAAAGACGTAAGTCAGATTTTTTTGTTTGAAACAAACAAGTTGGGCTCAACGACTAATTGTGATTAATCAATTATTGAAATAATTATCAGCTAATTTAGTGTCTTATTAAAAGGAGTGTACGGGTTCTAAAAAAGGATAACAGAGCAGTAATTAACCCAGAACTGTACTGTATGGTCACTATAAGCAGCAGACGGCACTGAGGATAAAATCTGCCTGCATTCGAGGGAAACGTTTGTCACTTAAGAGAGTATCAAACATTTTTCAATTCCTATTTCAACTTTTTTTATTCTGCACACACATACACACGTACAACTGTTTTCATTTGAAGAGTGCTATTTTGGCCTTTCCAACTAAAGAAACATGACCAAAGGTGTGTTTTCTAAAAGTCCTCAATTATAACTATGGATTTGGGGAGATTGATGTTTTAGCAGTAGCATAGGTGGGAAAAGTTTCCCTCCAAACCTCTTTGAAAGATTAAATCTTAAAAGAAAAAAAATAATTAAGCCTCAAAGCAATCTAAAGTAATTTATGGCATTTGCATTCAGAATTTGTGCATTTTGTCAGGCTGGTCATAGTATCATCCATCACCACTTAAACAGCTTTGTCAGAAATTCCTTCATCATCAATCACCCATGTTGGAGTCGACTGCTTTCCAGATGGGGCGAAGACGCAGAGGAGCAGTTAGTCTGTCGGTGAAACAGTGACACACATTGGGGATAATAGCACTAGATACAAGCACACATGGGCCAAAATGTTCATGTTCAGTGTTTAAGCATACGTTTATGGCTTTACACGTAGGAAGAATACATTTGCATGAAAGTGCTCCATCTTGATCAAAGGAGCGCTGGGACAAGGCAGAGGAACTTGAATTTTTTTTTCAGATTATTTGTCTTGACATAATGATCATTTTAGCAAACATGTAAAAACTTTTTTTTTTAATATGAGTTACATCCTTCAAGTTTAAGAATTGGGGATTTTTTTTTTCCTTTATTCTCTCAGAAAACATCCACTCAATTGCCCTTCATAGTCTAAATATTATCTGGAGTTAAAATATCAAATCTCACAATATATCTGTAGGTTTATTCATTTATTTTTAATTAGTTCACACTTCACGTTATTAGCCTAAATCATCTACTTAAATTCAAATGTCGGGCAGCATTATTGCAAACAACGCAACAAATCACATTAACATTAATATGGGTGATTTATGAATTATTTGAACCCTGATGGGAGAAATGTGCTGATTTTTAAATATTAAACTGTTTCATTCCCTTAGTTTTCTCACGTATTGTTATTTTTGTATCATAATTGATACGTTGGGCTGTTGTGAGCATGCAATTATCACGACCCAAATATACATTTTGTGTCTTTTATAAACTACACCACACACTGAAACAGCAATTTACACCAAATCTTTTCATGCATTCATAATTTTTTTATGATAAAAAAAATTAGATAGTTTTTGTGGAAAGTAGAAACATTGTTAAAGAGGTGGAGGTCTGACCAATACCTGTATACTACAGTTAACGTTAGTCCCTAATAATATGGGGTAGTAGAAAAGTATATCATGTTACTTACAATGTGACGGTTTAATAAAACATTTAATTTACAATTCAAGACGTTGAGGAAAATATTACCGACATGTAACTGGCTTAAAAAAAGAATTAGAAGAATGTTTTTTTCACAATTTTATGTAATTGTATATGTAGATCATTTGACCTCCAGATGCATTTTCAGTGTTAGCCTGTACAACTTTGTATGTAGCGTCAGTATTCAAGTCTTTGCAGAGAATTTTGCAGACATGGGAGAGTCACTTGCTCAGCATCAGCATCATTCATGTGTCTCTGCTGCTCTTCTGTGGCGCTGAGCTGTCTGTTTTCATGTCAGCGTGATTGTGGGGCATTTGGACTTCGTCTTGAGGACGACTTCTGGCCAACAGCTCGTCCATCGGTGAGCGAATGCTATGGACCTCTTTCTCCTTGTGGTTTCTCCATTTCATGCGACGGTTCTGGAACCAGATCTTCACCTAACGGAGTAAAAAAGCGGAGAAACATTTCAGATTGCCATACGACGGGGTTATTAATTACCTAACCCCAAGCAAGAAGAAGATGAGGTTTCATGTCATATTCTCCTTTAACTTTTGCCTTTCGTGGTATTGTTGAATAAAAAACTCACCTGTGATTCCTTCAGGCTAAGATCAGCTGCCAGTTTGTTCCTGTCCATTTTGCTGATGTACTTTTGCCTCCGAAAGGTTTTCTCCAGTTCCTTTCTTTGTTCTTCGGAGAAAACAGCCCTCCTGAGGATCCCTCTGCGGGATTTCGGGTTTGAATTCGACGACCACATTTGAACATTTCCTCCTTCTGAAAATGAAAAGATGTATGTTGTTTGAAACTTGAAATACCATTTCTGTTGTTTTGAACTTCTCCATCCTGTCTCACCATACACTTCAATTTGCTTCAATGGAAAGTTTAGTGACTAAGCAAGACTAACTGAAGTATTATATTGTAATTCCTGCCTATGAAATGACACAGACTCAGTAAACATCAATTTTTACATTTTACCTCAAATTCTCAACTGGATTCCGGTCTGGTCTTTGACTAGGCCTTTCTCACACATTAATATGCTTTGACCATTCCAGGTTAGTTAATGCCTCATGTTGTGGGTGAATGGGTAAAACT